TTGTGTCGTATAGATTTTTGTAAAAGTAAGATATTATATATTTGAATTTTAAAACACAAACATGACGCATTTAAACTATAAACAGGTTTGAAATCTCAAAATACTTCATTTTGTTATGATTTGCAGTTTGCGTTTCTGACGACGTTCTGTACAAGGAAGGCGACCCCATCCCAACTGCCAGCCTGTGTGAGCGATGCGTGTGCAGTCCACCTGACATTACTTGTGAGGCCATAGAATGCAAGAAGTCTGGCTGCCGGGCCATCTATCGCTCCAATCAATGCTGCCCGGAGTACAAGTGTGGTGAGTGTACGACAACAAATGCCCGAGTTTCATGAAATTAAGTCCCAGGCTCTGGAATTGTAGGTATCGGAATGTAAAAACTCAGAGAAAAGAAACTTAAAAATTACTGATACACATTACAAACCAAAAACAGAAGGCAGAAACTGGAGGAGACGTTAATTAAAGGATTTTGTACGGATTTAGGCGAAGAAAATTAACGTGAAACATAAATTTTACTTGTGTGTGCAGAAATGGATTTGTGTCGAGTCATTTTTAAACCACGACTTGATTTCCGAAGCATGCATGCGTTACGTCGATGAGTTTCAGGTGAGACTTAGTCAAGAGCTGCATTCAGGTGCCTTTCTTTAATTAAATGCACACACAGACCACGTTTTACTTCTATCTTTCTATTTGATGGAGTGCCACTGTATTTTTTGGTTTTAGACTGTGAGGCGGATGACAGAATTTATCAAAATGGTGAGCGCCTAGAGGACCCTGATTCACCCTGCAGGGTTTGCTATTGCCAGAGTGGAGAAATCGTGTGCACAGTAATCAAGTGCTACACACGTGCAGATTGCACGCCACATTATGTGACTGGCAAGTGCTGTCCCAAGTATGACCACTGTCCACCTGTAGGTAAGTGCCACGTTCTAGCAGACCAGCTTTTTACTCTCTGCTAAAACTGTTTTTTATACTTGATGTATGTTGATACTGGATATCCCCCTCTGCTGTGAGTTTCTTAACATTTCTAATCCATTCTTTCCATATCTTTACAGACCCTACACCAATGACGTTTTACGCGACATCAGAAACTTTGTCGGAATTAATCAAGTCATCTTCAGCTGACCAAATACAAAATAGTTCAGTGAAGAATATCCAAGACAACATTGTGGACTCTGCAAAGAGGATAGAACTAGCTGGAGAAAGTATGAACGACAGCCCTATACCTGAACCCAACTCATCAGATTATGGCCAAGATATTTCATTAACATCATCCTCTGCAGAAACAAGATGTAAAGAAGATAATGATAAGGAAGAAATATCGAAAAACAACACTGAGGTCTATACTGAAAGTACTAACACTGGAGAAACAACCGAGAGAAAAGAGGATGACAAAGAGGAAACACAAGATACCACTGAGGTCAAAACAGAAAATACAGGCACTGAAGAAACAAGCACGAGACAGAAGGATGCAAAAGACGAAGAGGAGTCGCAAAAGGACAGCACTGAGGTTTATACAGAAAGTACAAGCACTGGAGAAACAAGCAAGCAAGAAAGAAATGACGAAGAGGAACTGCAACAAGTCAGCACTGAGGTCTATACTGAAAGTACAATCAGCAATAAAGAAGATGAAATGGACATGTCTTCAGAGCAGATGGAAGACAAGATTGCCGAGACTCGGTCTGATGAGACTACTACAACCCACAATTCAGCTGATGTCACAACAACAGTGATATATCCTTCTGATGAAAATGGCATGATGAAAGATGGCGGAACTATGTGGTTCATCGGAGAGGTAAAATCATCTGTCGAGTCGGTAACACACGGAACATCTCAAGAAACAGTACAGCATGAAATAACTACCATCGCAATTGAAGATGACAAAGAAGTTGGCAGTGGAACTGAATCTACACAGTTTGAAGCTTTTGTGGGCAGCAGAGAAGGTAGTGATGAAGGAACTTCACATGAGTCCACAGGAGATGATGGCAATAAATTCAACATTAGCTCTGGAGAACTGGGGCAGAATAAATATGATGAAAACAATCCAGAAGCTGGTAGTTTTGAAAACAGCAACACCAACTCCACAGCTGACCACACACAAGCAACAGAGCACGAACCCAGGGACTCAGTTCCTGTGATTACGTTACAGAACGACATGGAATCTTCGCATATGGGTATTGTGCTGCCAGATTTAGATAATAACAAGATGCAAGTAGACTATGACATTAAAAAAATAGAGACAAATCCAACAGTTGGCACAGAAGCAGAAATTAATACCAGTTTAGAGTACAACAACATTACAAACAAAATCACTGCAGATTATCTGGATAAAAGTGAACTAGGTGGGAAAACCTTTCAGACCTCAAATGAAGAAGAAAGTGAAGGCATAACTACCGATGAATCTACTGATGATGCTTCTTTTACAACTACCCCCACTAGTGAGGTTACATCAGAATTTCAATCCACCGAAACAACAGAAATGAATGAATTCAGCATGGGCCAAGGTAAAACTGGTTTGTCAGCAGCTTCACTTTTAACACACGACAGTCAAACAGAAGCACAGGATGAGGAATCTATGAATCCTACAGATGGCTCCACAACTCCAGACATCTTAGAAGGAGAACATCCACTCAACACGAAAGAATTTGAACAGACTACTGAACACACACAGACGACTCCAACCGATGAGCCGAAGGATGCTACGACAGCTCAACACGAAAGAATTTGAACAGACTACAGAACACACACAGACGACTCCAACTGATGAGCCGAAGGATGCCACAACAGTAAATACAATAAGTGACGACAGTGGTACACAGGATACTAAGGTAGAAATGTACTCCAGCGATAAAGATATTTCCCATACTGAATCAACGAGGGAAAGTTTCACAGACAGTTTTGGGAATATAGATTCTTCAAGTGAAACTGAAAATAGTATGCACTCCACAACACATACTATACAACTCAACAAGAAGATATTAGATGCAGCAGTTGCATTCAAAAATAACAAAGTAGAAGACATATTACCAAAAGAGTGGTTTACATATGATCAGCTCACAACTGAAACAAATACTGAAGCTGTACCTCAAACATCTCCCAATGAAGACAAAGCAGAAGAGTTTCCATCGACCATAAATTACAGCCATGACAAAATCAGAAACTCCTATGAATCTAAAAGTGTAGAAAAAACTGATCGGCCTGTAGAAATTGACACCACCAAACCTGTATGGACAACTGAAAGCATAATGACAAGTTTCGACAGTTCAGAAACCACAGGCAAAATAGATAATAGGCCATCCAATGACGATTCTCAAACATCGGCAGATGAACTTTCGAATGAGATCCAAACTACTATAAATATTGACACTGACTCAGAGGAGACAAATGTTACAATTACAGAACATGGAACCTCAACCATATCTGATTACAGTTTAAAAGAAACTAAGATACCATTTTGGTATATCCCCTCCTTAGAACACAGCGAAGAGAGTAACAGATCGGAAGGTACTGATACCAGCTCAGACGTTACATCCGAAAATAATTTTAACATCAATGAAGACAGCAAACAGGGTGGGTCAGATGAAAGTTTGAATTCCAATACATATAAAAAATCTTGGGCCAAACAACCAAATGAATTTGATAAGATTCATCCAGAATCTTTGAATGTCGAAGACAAGTCCACTGATTACAATCAACATGGATCTGGTGAGTCTGTTTCGATGAAGGAGGTAAAATCAGCTTTCTATTCTGGTGACAGTTATGAACAGAGTTTTCTTGATCTTTATGGACCGGGAGACTACTACGTGACGTCGTCGGAGTCAGATCTTACGTACAACACTACTGATGAGCGCGGCGAAGCCACATCAACTGTAACTATCCCTGGTAGTCAAGAGCAATTTACAGAGTCAACTACGGTCAGAAGTAGTGATAATGAAGACAAAGAAAGTTATTCCCAAGTGAATGTGGACACGGACACTACTGTAACACCTACTGATTCATCAATAACAGCAGCAACTAACGAAACAGAGAGTGCGTTGGAATCGACAACACCAAGACTGTCGGAAAATGTTTATAACAGTGGGGAAATTTCAAATCTTTCTGAAATAAAAGTGTGGAATTCATTGGAAGACAGTCAAGATGCAAAATTTGAAAATATGGGTATGATTAAGGTTGAGGAAGCTTTATATGACGCTTCAGTTTCCAACGAGGAAAATTATTCAACACAGTAACTTTGCTGTTGTAGTGAAATATATTCAAAAGCTGATACATTATTTTCCATGAGCATGAATGAGCAACTTTTTCATGTAATTCAAAATGTTCCAAACAATGAAGTTATGCTCATTTGTGGTGTACCTACAAAATGTCATTTAAATGTGAATGACATGGCATAACTTTGTTGTTATCAAACTGTGTGACTGTTTTATGACTGATGAAACATTTTTAATCTCATCAGCATCAAGAACAATATAGTAGGATAAAAGATTAATTCTTCCTTCAAAAAATTCAGTATGTTCAAACTTATCAAAATTAAGTCAACATGTCAGAATATGGATAAACCATAAATTTCTTACACAAAAATTACCACTGTCTTTCTGTTAGTTGCATATTCATTATGTCATAAAAACCATGAAATTTAATATAATCAACTTAAAATTTTGATGAAAAAAATCTGCACCCTCATTCTTTGGAATGCAGAGTCTAAGCTGTTCTTGCAGAAACAAGAGAATAAAAAGATGCAGATGACGAAGTTGTCCATATTTAAGAGCAGTAAGGAAAACAAAAGTAACATCTCTAAACAAAGAACATACAAATAGTTCATGAATTTCTGTTCAGAATGCTCTGCTCTTGTAGGTTATTTATCAGTAATCAGAAAGGCAAGGAGACACCTTACGCTAAATCACATTTCAAGTAAAAACACCAATAACATTTTTAAATAATAACTTATGCTGAAGAATTCACCAGAAGTTCATGGGTAGAATTAAAACAAATCAATCATATCAGTCTTAAATGATTCAAGTGTTGAAAATCAAACAACTTTGAACAATTACTTTGACTATAAAATGTTCAGTGGACGTATTTTAATTTTTCTGAGCAACGTTACGAAAACGCGTCCATTGTAAGTGATAAATAACGTATGACAAGTCTGATTTCATTCATTTGCTGCTAATTTGCTGGAAATATTTTGCCTGGCAAGAATTTTGGTTACAGGGGTGTAATTTTTCAATGTTAAAAACCTGATAAAATCCCAAAATGTAGTTTGAGAAGACAGAATGATGAGCATTTTGACAATGTTTATAAGGAAGCGTGTGTATACAAACGTGGACAGATTAGAGCGCATTAAGTAATGCCTTTCAGTCAATTTGTGTCTAATGTTACAATGTCTTTTTCTGGAAGAATCAATTACTGCATTTTCCCTGAACAAGACACATTGCCAAAAATAATGTTGGGATGCATTATGTTTCATCAGGGACCAAAGACCTTTTGGGCTGAGCTGTTTACACTTTCCGTCCCTCTTAAAGCTGTCCAGAACCAAACTCATTATTTCCTAAATAAACAAATTAACTTCATAAAATCTATTCCTCCCAGCATCATCGTCAGTTGCATTTTAGAATACCGACAATCTAAACTTTCTGTAATTACTAATAGTTTTAGTAATAATGGACAAAATAAAATGTTTTTGTAATATTGTTTATGATTTATTTTCATTGCATTATGCCATATCCACTGTATTATTATGGATTTTATGTGGTCAATACATATTTCTTTTGTAAGTTACCACCACACAGATTTGACGGACTCTCGGAAGGCAAAAATTCTTATAGAATATGTCAGATAATGTTCAATTCTTTCCTTTTACATAGAGTTATTTAAGATCTTCAAAAAGAGAAGTATAAACTTAAAAGAGTCATCTATGGCAATTAATCCAGACAAAAAAGTCCATCAAAATAGCATGGAAACACTCTACAGGAAATAACATGGTGGAAGAACACCTCATGTCAGCTGTTCAAGAAAGTTTGTCCTTAGTCGAGCAGCTGTAGGGTGTAGGAGATGATACCTATTTCTCCTACTAGATTTCGCTGCCAGAAAGACATATCGTGTGCTGACATCTAGACGCCAACTATGATACCTTCGAGCTTGGAAGTGAAATGCACGGAAGCATTTTCGATATCAAGAATAAATTTTAGAATGGAATGAGAGCACACTGAATTTATTTCAGGTTAGTTGCGACTTTTAACTCAGTGACTGAACCTTACGAATTGTTATTTAATATAAATGTTAATGAGGACACAAAAGTACAGTTGAAACCTCAACACAGATCCCACATTAGGGGTGGGAAAGTATATTCAGTCAGGGGTCAGATATGTCCATTTTGAAGTTAACGCGGACCGGAGAATCATATGAGAAAGCTTCTGTACTTCAAAATGTGCGAAACAGCAATCAGTTATTGTTACACACACGCATATATGACATAAAATATCAAAATTAATAATAGGTCTAAACGCAATATCTTAACACGTGGCGTTACCACGCGTTCAAAGGAACGTGAATTTGATCTCATGCTATTCTGTTATGTACAATAAACCAAAACAAAAGGCTACTGTATTGCGGATCACAAAACTTCGCATCTCTATAATCTTTAGCGAATATGACACATGACCTGAACTATATATGTTAAAGTAAAACTTAATAAAAGTCGGTCGGAATTAATATCTTAACATGAACTGATCGAGATAAATCGGTCTCTCGTACGTAATGACCTAACGTTATCGTACGTCCGGTATGAAAGGAGAAATGTTAATTCTAATAAGGTTAATATTTTTAGGTTATAATCAACAGCGGAATGCCACGGTGGTCTAGCGGATAGAACGCTGGCCTTGTAATCCTGGGGTCTCGGGTTCGATTCCCGGCGGTGCCCGAATTTATAACTTGTGTTGGGCAAGGCCGTGGTCTAGGCAACACGGAGTTTTCCTCCATGGCATCCCAACAATTACTCCATTCACACACACAGAAGAAGGCAATGGCAAACCACCTCTGGATCATCTGCCAAGAACGTATATGAACAGGTCCCAGGCCGAGAAAAGGAGGGACACGGAGTTTTCGTCCGTGGCATCCCAACAATTACTCCATTCACACACAGAAGAAGGCAATGGCAAACCACTTCTGGATCATCTGCCAAGAACGTATATGAACAGGTCCCAGTCCGAGAAAAGGATGGAAGGATCCTGTTCATATGGACCTGTCGTCAGACAGAACACTAAATAATATAATAATCAACAGCATCTGTTAAATTTGGTTCCCTCTTGGAAGATATCTGTCTTCTGGGTTGTAGCGCCGTGTGGTTTGTTAGAAGTTTACCAACGTTTCAGAGGTCCTTGCTGCCTCAATCACCAGGGCGATAATTACTTTGCAAGCAAGGACTTACGAAACGTTGGTAAACTTCTAGCGGAGTACACGGCGCTACAACCGAGAAGACAGCCATCTTCGTACTCACCGCCGTGAAAACCTCAAATCCTACTCCTTCCTTCTTGTTTCTGCGCAAGTCAGTAGTGTGTAGATGAAAGTGTACAGGTTCAAAGTGCGGCATGACCGAACATCAGCTCGTGTGGTTGCTTTCCCCAGCGCTCTCTCAAACTGCGCTGTGCGTTATGGTTGCTTTGTATTCCTTTCACGATTTTAATATAAAATACCTCGCACTTTAGCGTGAAACGTGCTTATAATCGAGGAACTTTGACCAGTCAACAAGAGTCTTGACCTGTATCTGACGTTGCGCCATTTAGACTACTGCTTACAATATTACACAGCCTTACGTCATGGCCCAATAATTAGTAATGTTGTTGCTTATCCGAAAGGTCCCGGGTTCAAACCTTGACCCGAAGACCTACCCGAAAAATTAACTTTAATTTGCGTCATAAAGTTTTTTTTTTCTCTCAACCTTTCTGAAACCGTGGAAACCCCCCCAAAATTATCTAATATATTTTGATTAAACTGAATACATACTATTAAAAGTAATCATAAATATAATTTACAGTTATTTCTGTCATGCTTAGGCCCTGTTATTTTAATATGGGAGTAAAAAAAGCGTAATGCTTATAAAAATAAAGTAAAACAGAAGAAACTACTCAACTCGCGGGCCCCCGGTTTCCAAACAATCATACGGGAAGCTCGTATTAAAATACAAGTTACAAAACACAAAAAAGTGCTAATTATAAATTACAACCTCGATCAGATGACTTAAATTCAAATGCGTGGCTTGTTCCTCCACCTTGCGAGTTCACGTTTTCAGCTTTCACTGACTTGAATGCTCATCACGGACTTTTTCGTGATAGCACACCCCACCCCTGACCCTCCCTTTTGTTCAACGTGACTGTACTAATGTTTCCTTCCGTTCTGGTGTGATTGCTGGCTAACCCATCGGAATATTTTGTCTCTGAATTTATCGTCCTGACGGAGGACCACACCAGAGTCTGCTTACGACAAAAATTTCGTCTAAAACGACCTCTCCCAGTGACAAGGTCTGACCCTGACTCAGCGACAGATACCCTGTAACATGGTGTGAAAATCATGATAATGAAAATGACGATGATTATAGTGATGATAATGATAAAAATGATGATAATCTATTCTTAGTACCAAACGTCGTGGTCGAGTGCTTCTTATTCGGGAGGTCCCCGGTTCAAATCTCGTCCCGGAGACTGGCTATCCTTACTGGAAGGGAGAGGGGTTCGTGGTTTTCCTCAGTTCCCCCGGAAGTGTTGACCTTTCAATGTGATTTATAAAGATGATAGTGCAATAAACTGTATTACTGCTCAGCACAATAAAGGTTTATTACCATCAACTTTCACTTATGACACTAAGTTAGTAACACGAAAACGTGTGCAAAAGTAGTGGTAAAGTTCGACGAATAATTAAACACTAGATGGGGGATAAATGATCAGCCTCGCGCCCTGTCCCAACTTCCCCGTTGCACCCCAGAGTTTGGTCGTGTAAAAACTGTCTCAGAAATTTCGCCCTGTAGGCAGGACATGTGTTCAGAGAGCACAGCTGAGACTTTCCAGCAAACGCTTTCCACGTTCGCCGATCTTCATACTTGACATGCACACGAGGACAGCGACGAAACTCTTGCCTGCTGCATTACTGAAGTCGATTAAAGGGCTGGCGTGACGATGGACTACTTTTTCTTCATTTGGCCGACAGCTGTAGACAGGTAAACGATGTTGATGATGATGATGATGATGATGATGATGATGGTGGTGGTGATTCAGGTCAACGAAGTTTAGAAGAACGAATCGTCCTCTCTTTTCACTAGGTCGAGGTGGGAGGGGGGGGGGGCTTAGACTAATAACGCCGTGTTATAAGCAACTGCAACACGGATAAGCGAGTGATATTTGTGCTGAAAGCCTTAATGAAAACGGGAGTCAGCTGGATACGTCGCTATGGAAACCAGGTAAGTGTCGACTCACGGTCAACAGGGAAACGGGCAGTTTATGATTACGATAGTTAAAAGTTGGATCTCAGAAGTGAAGTCAGCGTCTGTGTGTAGTGACATCTAACTTTTTCTGGCGTTAGAAAGACTAATACAAGTTCCGAATATTTCATAAGTTTCTCTCGCAGCTGTTTTTTTAACAACGAAGAAAATCATACACAAGCTCTTTACACACTCAGAGAGATTAAATGGAAAAAATATAAACAGTTGAGAAACTTATATAATGAGAAGCTTCATGATCCATATTACTGAGTCAAAGGCGGGCAATTATTTAATCAGGGAATCGAAGTTACTACAAAAAATATTTCTGCAGTTAAATAAATGCAGGTCGCAGGTCCTTCTGGACTCACGCTGATTTCCACGAACAAAATCCTTGTCGCACAGGCAACCTGCCTTGTATATTCGAGAGTCGCAGATCCCTTCTTCAGTTTCTCGGGAGTGGGTCCCAGAGGGACAATCATACGACAGTTTAATCTGATGCAAGAATAACATCCTTACTCAATGTGTATTTTTGCAGAACAATGATGCTGACTGTAGTAGTACTGGCGATGGTAGGACTCGCTTGTGCCTCTCCAGTATCACAGGCAGAAAAAGAGGGAGCCTTCTTCACAAACGAGGCTATCAGACAAGCACAGAACACATACCTGATTCCTAAGGATGCGACTATCCAGAAGGTTCAGGAAGGAATCCAGTTGGCGGCCTACGAGTCCATCCCTGGAAACCAGCGGATCAACCTCTTCGAGATCCTGGGGGAACACGTGCCTCCTGAGGTAGTGAACAATCTACAAGCACAAGTGGACCAAGTTGGCAAACAGTAGTGGTTTTATTGTTACCAGGGGCACAAAGGTTTTCTCTCAGAGCTTTCAATTAATGTTGATGAAGTAACGGATGGATCTACAGGGTAAATAATTTCCCATGCTAAGAAGTACGACTGCTCTAGAACAGTGTTTCTCAACAGGTCGGTCGCAAAGGTTGTTTCGGCTGGTTGAAAATTACCACAAAGTTGGGTTTTCTGGGTTTTTCGACTTTGTCCATCGTCCAAGGTTTAAAATGTACACGACGTTTCGATAACAGGATCCGTTTTTGTCTTCAGGTGTTTGGGGCAGGGGCAACTACTCAGTTTAGTCCCATAGAAAGAGCTTGTCTCAATCACTGGACAGCCTGGGTCAGAACAGTACAAAGTCCAAGAAATCCCCAAAAAACCCGACTATGTCACACCCTCGTCAGAGCCCTACAGAATCCTACCATAAAGTTGTAAAATGCAAAATAATATTTACAGCATATGATACAAATTAAGCAGATGGGGGTAGGAGTATGTGAGTAGTCGTGGATTTTTCATCTTTTATAAGGTAACAAGAGTGTTGAAAAACATTGCCCTAGAGAATTATTAGTTTTATCCTAAGTGTTTTATTGTGGGTTCTGACATCACATACCAGCAGAGGCAGAGTATGTATGTCAGTGCTCGGGATCAAAAGTTAGAAATTTTTAACGTCCTCGGTAAATTTTCACCAAACCACAAGAACTGTGTAAAATAAGGTTTAGCAAGTATTAAATTATTTTACCACCAACGTTAAGACGACACTTCAAATTATAAACAGAGAAGGCACATGCTAATAACGATGTTGAAGATGCAGGCAAATAAGGAACGAACACGAACAGATTTTCTAATTAATACTGGTGATATCCGCCATTTTGACAAGGAAAAATAATTTAGTTTTCGACCCAAACAACGACTTACATGCGTTGTTCATTACTGTCTGTGTTTCTGTAAAAAAAAAACTGTATCCTGAGCATCAGAATAAACAATATGTTTATAAATAAATTATTTCGGTTTGCTGTTTTAAATTTATAAGTATCACAATTTGTTTTTTTCCTGTGACAACAGCCTGCTACTTTGCGCAATGTTTGGTGAGAAGCGATGATAACAACGCCATCATCATTTCTGTGGAGAGAAGCGAGTAACTCGTCCTTTCACTTGTTAAAGCCTGTAAGGACACGCACATCTGAGAACGGGTTTCCGTTCACCTCAACTTTCTCTTCTCATTTACTCATGTGTTACCTAACACTGAGTAGACTTAAGTCGGGGAAACTTTCTCGCACGTCCATCTGAAACGTCAGCCATCGTTAAGCAAAGCCCCGACTGCTCCGGGAACAATTTAAAAGAGTCCTGGGGGGATCTCCGGGAAAGTTCTGCTTCAGTCAACCTGGTTTCTGTATCTGTTATGACTACGTACAGCTACCTCTCGTTAAACGCGATTTCTCTGTCCGCACCCTGATGAAGAAGGCAGTATACACCTCTGAAACATCTGTCAATATCTACCATATTACACGATTACACGAAGCAACATCCTGGAATAGTCGGTTATAACACTCATGAATTTTATCCCACAAGAAGCAAAACCCTTGACTACTAATTATCACCAACCAACCAAGGTCCCAGCCAATATTTGTTTGTTACACACAAACATGCCTGTTGAGGTAGGAGACTAATTGACAAATTGACAACAATAATTTATAGTGCAAAGGATTCGATGTTGCCAACCTAACATCAGCCTCCTCCTGCCCTCTAGTGGAGATTGCAAAACTACTTGAAAACAGTGAAATGGCTCGACTAAATACAGTGATTCGATTCGATTAAATTCGATTCATTTATTAAAGTGTTTGCCAACAACAAGGAGCCAATGATAGATGATATCGTTGGCATACATCTTGCCACCAAAAGTTTCCATTAAATGTGGTAGGAACATTTTTGTTTTCAAAATTAATTTTCACCAAGACTAATTACACAAAAAATTAATCCAAACAAAAAATAATAATTGTAAATTTCTGCCTTATAAAGGGGAAAACAAAACGGAAAGGGAACAGAATACGAAAGAAGGAACACAAAAAAAAATTCGTTTAAATTGCGTGTTTTCTACCCCTTGGTTAACTTTTCTACAATTATCGCAGTCACAGATAAGGTCCTGGAGAAGTGAAAGTTATGAAAGGTATTTCATTGCAGCCGCGAACTCTCTCCACTGCATGAACATAAACTAAGATCACAGATGTACGGGGCCAAGACTGACTGCTAACTTGTGTCCGGCGTATAGATTATAACTTAGCAGTAAATTATTTTTAAAAGGAAATTTCCATTTCCTTAACAAATAATTACGACCCCCCCCTCATTATCAATATTTAAAATTGTTTCTATGTTAAAGATTCTTCGCGTTCATTCATCAATCCAAGCGATGTCAGATTCACTAACTGGAACAGCGAAAAATATTAACTTTTAAAATCTCGCATCTCCCCCCACCCCCCCCCCCCCCCCCACAAATATTTTCTCTAAATATGTTTCTTCAGCGCACAAAATATCTTGAACTGATTTAAATCTCATTCTTATAAAATATCGCATAATAAAAATGTTAGCATTAATAAACGTGGAAAGTAGGTTACAAATGTTGGAAGAGATATCGTTCCGTGACCTTCAAGCTGTCGTCGTATTAACCCTCAGAAGTCGAGTAAATAGAATATGAGAGACACTAAATTTAACACGGATTTTTAATTTGGACACTTACCTTGGTGAAATGTTTATGTTAACACGGGCCGAACTACTTTTTGAACCCGAAACTCATCTACATAGTATCTAAAGATAAACTTAAGGTAGTATATTTGCGTCATATTGTGAATTAGGTTAATATTTTAATATTTTTCGTCAAATCACAATTTTAATAAGATAATAGATCATTCGATGCGGAACGTAAAATGATATTTTAAATATTTTATATTTTATTATCTTATTAAAATTGTGATTTGACGAAAAATATTAAAATATAAAGATATACTTCCTACCGCAAATAATGGCTATTCAATATGAGAATCACACTAAACCCATTAATACAATCTGGGGTAAAATAAATAGTTACTGGTTGTTGAACCAGATGGTATAAGTACTTATTATTACAGTCTGAAAGGTTTGACACGTCTTTGAAATACTTAATTCATGAATTGTACAAATAGATCCAAACTTTTCAAAGTCCATTAGTATGCCGGTGACCTCACACATGATGGATCCTCTGTATGCAGTGCACTGCGCATGCGCAAGGAAGAATGCTACCAAGCCGGAACAGCTGATGACACACACAGAGCGTTCGGAAACAAACAACTCACATTTTCAGGGTAGCTTCTCCGATTAAAATCAACGTAAAAATATAATAATTTTAATACGTTTCGTATTCATTTTAATGAAGAAGCAATCTTGAATATTCATGGCTCTCGCTTACAGCATTGTATTAAGATAATTGGATACTGTTTCCGATATAAATCCTGAAAAGAAAAGCCTTTTCATTTAATGTTACGTAAAAATTGTTGCAATAAGTCATAAACTTTTGAAACACGAAGCTCATATAAATAATATTTAAAAATTCAGTCATTTCCGCAAAGTAAATACGTTTAGTATTATTAACAATTTATAATATCGACTGATGTTTCGAAATAAAACTTTTAATTCTTGTTCAGATCCATATTTTGCGATATGAACTAATTTATTCTTACGAGTCTTTTTGGAAAGTTGAAAGAATTTCGAACTAAACTTCATCAAAAGTAGCAGATATACAGACCCAATAAAATAAAAACTAAATTAAATTTGTATGGCCAATTTTGACAGAAAACAATGTCAAATATAATATAATGAGCAACTGCGAAGCTGAAAAATACAAATTGATATATTTACCTCCTCATTACGCTTTCATGTATGCACTTTTTGGAAAAAACCGATGATTTATTGCAGAGAGTCACTAATCACTGACGTCAATGCGAGATTGGAAAGCTTCGATATTTTAATTCCATTAGAGCACAGGAATTTTAGTTGGACAAACAGGAAAGAGGATTATTACGATTTGTTGAAGTGAAATCCAAATTACCCCACACCGGCAAAACTGTAGCAACTTTACAAATAATTATCCAGCATTCCTATGGAAGTGCAGCTTAGAATGTCAGTAAAAAAACGTGAAATGTAGCTCGTTTAGGAGGATGCAAACAGACAAAAAATTTATGCAACCAAATAACTGAATGTCAATTCTTTTTAAGTACGAGAGGATACCCTCTTTTAAGATTCGGAACACGACAATACTCAGAACCGATGTTTATTACAGTTACGCGTTGTTCTCCTTCGATGCCTAATCTCATTCATATGCAGAGGGACCACAGATTAACGTAAGATGGCTGTCTTCTGGCTTGTAGCACAGTGTAATCTGGTAGAGGTTTACCAGACTGCACGGCGCTACAACCCAGAAAACAGCCATCTTCAGACTCACCGCCATGAGAACCTCAAATCATAATTGTATTAACCTATCTATAACATAAACAGTTGCTTATCATTTGCTGTTGACCTTATGTGATGATATATATGAATGCGTGCTGTTATCAATGCCGTGGAATCGTTGTCTTTTGCTGTTAAGGGATTTGGGGCTTTATGGGATATTATAACCGTTATCATGGTAATGCTGTTAGGGGAGGTCTACTACATACATGTAATATATCGCAGCGTTTTTATTATATATAACCTCAATTTATTATTATTTAGTGTTCTGTCTGACGACAGGTCCATATGAACAGGATCCTTCCATCCTTTTCTCGGACTGGGACCTGTTCATATACGTTCTTGGCAGATGATCCAGAAGTGGTTTGCCATTGCCTTCTTCTGTGTGTGAATGGAGTAAGTGTTGGGATGCCACGGAGGAAAACTCCGCGTTGCCTAGACCACGGCCTTGCCCAACACAAGTTAAAGTTACAGAGCGTTCGCGTACAGTTTGGAACATGAACACTAAATTTTTATGTAGTTCGAAGACGTGGAATAATGAGACCAAATACAAAATGACTTACTTATTTATAAAGCGACGGGAAGAAGGAATTTGAAGGAATCGGACTTGGATGTTAAGACAGTTATTAAATATGAGTAGAATAGTTGTAATGCGTGATTTAGGGAGACGTCTGATAATATTAATATTAATGTAAACGGTAGTTTTGTATAACAAATAAAAAACATAGAATATGCCTATGTTTGACCCAAAACAAGCTGTCCATTGGATTCCATCCTTTTCTCGGACTTGGACCTGTTCATATACGTTCTTGGCAGATGATCCAGAAGTGGTTTGCCATTGCCTTCTTCTGTGTGTGAATGGAGTAATTGTTGGGATGCCACGGAGAAACCGGGGAAGGCCCCGGAGGAAAACTCCGTGTTGCCTAGACCACGGCCTTGCCCAACACAAGTTATAAATTCGGGCACCGCTGAGAATCGAACCCGAGACCCCAGGATTACCTCAATATAAGATTGTATTTGAAACTGCGTGACATGAAATCGTATTACATTAATTAATTAAGCAAATATAAATAATAACATTAATTTTCCTTACATATTACTCTCCTTTGGCTTGATGCTTGGTTAAGTAACAGGGAGAAGTTCATACATCGTATGACTTGTGGCATGGACAGATTTTGAGCACGAATGCTGCTTAGTAGTAAGATTAGGCAGCATAATGAAACACGATAGCAAACTTTAAAATACAATGGCCGGCCCAGTTTGGGGCGACCCGTGACTTGGAGTAATGGCGGACTCTTTTTGTGGGGGTGGAATAATCGCGGCGGATAAATAAAGCTGTTCTCTGAGATGACAGTTCGGGCAGGATGCTCATGGCTTTACAGGGGTGAACAACTCCGATCTGTCGAAACAAGACGTCACTGGAATAAAAACATTTCGTATTCAAGGGATGAGTCGGTTGTAAGGCCAACCGGCCATTATGAATTACAAGACTTGGAGGTAAAAAGAAACTATATTCTGATCTAATCAGT